GACACCTTTCCCCTGGGAGGCCAAGATGAAAGTAGGAGGGAATGAGCTCGAAGCACTTCCTCACCCCCACGCTGCAGACGCCCCTTGAGCCTTGGTTTCTGCTGGTGAGAAAACCAAGGGTTGTGAAGCTCACTCTTTTTTTCCTAAACTCATACTAAAGGGATTCTTCTACTACTCAAAAACTTGAGTGAATCCCCCACGAAGCCTGACATGAGATGGGTGTGTACATTAACACACACACACACACACACACACACACACACACACACACTTCTAGTAGCATCTGCATGTGTAGTCACCCTTGCCCTGCCCTAATTCAGTGGCTGATGATTTGGAGCACAAATGAGGCAGATGTGGGTGAGAACTTTTGTCCATTGTTTCCTAAGGAAGCCATGGGTTAGAATGGTCATGCTGGCGGCTTATACAGGTGGCCCTTGTACCCTGCTCAAACCTAGGGAACATTAGGGAAACATGTTTGGATAACCAAACCAAGTCACTGTTGTGAAAATTAAACCCTACCAGGGTCTTATTGGATTTCAAGAGTTATGTGAGAAGACTTTGAAACTTTATTGCCTTTGGAACACACCCTCAGTTAGTAGGTGGGTTGGATTTCAGAAGGGTTGGACTCAATATTTGGCATTCAGAATGCATTTCTCTTTTAAAATGGTGTTTTAAATGGTAGTTGAGTCTTCAAGCCATTCCACAAAGTCCCCACTTAAGCCTCAATATGGTTTTGATGCCATAAAACTGTGTATTTGCAATAAAAATAATAATATCCAGGGTTGTGGCCATATGAGTAATTTTAAAAAAATAGAAAAAAATTATTGTGTGTAGTTCATTCTCTTGAATGTTCATATTTAGGTGGAAATAGATGTTAGTAGAGGGAAGTGAGGAAGTATATGGAAGCTTCACAGAAATTCTGAGGGGACATCTGGGGCATTTCGAAGGCTTCAGAGCGGGACACACAGGTTCCGTGGAGTGGGTGGCCCAGAAAATGCTTCCAAGAAAATCTGGACGGTTTTTTTTTCATAAGCATGATTTTTCAGAAATTTGTGAGAGGGTTGGGGAGATACAATGGAGAAAAGCACCCTGTTCAGTAGTAAGTGAGCAAAAGGAGACCATGGAAGAGAGGGAGAAGTTAACTAAAAAGGTGCATCGGAATCCAACAAAAGGAAATTAGCGGAAAGAACATTTCTTGAGGGGCCGAAGAGGAAAACGTGATGAGGGAACCATGCAAGTCCTTCAACTTCAGAAAGTGGGGCCAGCCTTCCTTGAGGACAGCCCCAGGGCTGGTGTGGACTGGCCTGTGAGGTTGGGTGTTGGGGAGAGGTTGTTTGGGGGGTACCGGGGATGGAATTCGGGTCCTTGGGCTTGTGAGGCAAGCGGTGGAACCACTGATCTAATTCCTCGGTTCTGTTGTAGAGAGGTTGTGGTCACGGAGGCAGAGGTTTACCAAGCGCTGCCCACCTCTCCCTCTGCTCAGAAGGAAATGCACCACAAATGACGTCGTCTGTGCTCTGTTGCTATAACCGAGCCCCTGAGGTGATGAACCTATAAAGGAGAGTTTATCGTGGCTAGTGGTCCTGTAGGCCAGGGTGCCTAGGAGCACAGAGTTGGTGAGGACCTCAGGAAGGGAGGGTGGAAGGGGCCATGTACTGAGAGAGGAAGCAAGAGGAGCTCTCCTTCACGACAACCTGCTTTCAACAAACCCACTCCTTCAAGGTCAAGGGACTCTCTCTTGGAGAGCAGCAATAATCTCTTCGTGAGCACAGAGCCTCCATGACTCAAGCACCTCCTGATGGTCTCCTCATTTCTTGACACACTGGAGCCAGATTTAAATACACACTTCGGACGGGACAAACCATAGCACAAACCATGGCACACATAGCAAGCAAGTGTACCACATGCAGTCAGTCCATTTGTTAAATGCTGGGATTTAATTCTCGCCTTTACAAATACAATTCTGCCTCCCTGTTCCTTTTACTAAATTCACTTCGTCTGCTTCTTGATAAAAATAAAATTAGCTACACAACATTTTTTAAAGCAGCTAACTTTGATGCAAGTGCTTAACATCTTAAAATTGATATTAAAATTAAAATTTCTGAGGCCTATTGTGTTGACAACATATACAAATACTATATTTTCCCCTAATCTCTCACCTATATTTGAGATAAAGATTATTTGTCTTTGTATCCTCTAGGAAGACATGAGTTACCAAGTAAGCTAATAGCAACCTCACCATGAAATTATTTAATATTTTAAGAGGAAAATAATTTTCAAGTGTTCTCAATTGTTTATAATCACTGATATAAGCATACTGAATGTCTATTTAAAATGTATTTATTAATAAAGAGTTTTTCTAGACTCTATATTTTAAATATTGGTAAACGTACATTGAGAATTTGAAAGTGATGCAATTTAAATCTTTCCATGAATTCATAATTTCAAAAATTTATACATGGTTATGATCAACTGATGTAAGCAACTATTGCTTCATAGTATAATCAAATCTTACATTTAAGTTTTACAGACTTAAAGTTTTTTAGGAAAGGAGCCTAATAAAGTTGTATTTGAAAAATTCCTAGCCTCAGACTGATTTTTTTCCCCTCTCATTGAATGTATTGGTACATTTTAGGTATACAGTACAGTTACATTCATCACTGGGATCTTGTACCTTTACATGACAGGTCTTGGTTCTCATTTTTCCCCTTATCCCTGCCCTCCCTTCACCCCCTCCTCCCTTCCCTATTTACAAATACTTTATTTCCATTTTCTCATATTTCTTTTTCTTTTTCCTTATTCCCTTTCCCCTACCCTTCCCACTTCCCCTATACCTTTAGCTCTTTTCTTCCTATTTTGCATTGTCAATTATATCATTAGGATCTTACGTATACCATTATAGTTTTTCACCTCAGAGAAACTATTCGGTATTTATATATGTGTGACTTATTTATTTCACTTAGGACTATATCCTCAATATGTATCCATTTTCCTATGAATGACTAATTTCTCATTCTTTATGGCTGAGCAGTACTCCATTTATTAGAACAAACACATCTTCTTTATCTAGTCTCCAACTGATGGGCAAATGGGCTGTTTCCAAGTTTTAGCTATTACAAACAGTTCCGCTAGAAACATAGGTGCACATATGTCACTGTGATATGATTCTTTTAATTCTTTTGGAAAGATACCCAGCTGAGGGATGGATGGGTCAAATAGAATCTCTAATCCCAGCTCTTTGAGGTGTCTCCATATTGATTTCTCTCAGACTGATTTTTAATGGAAGTCCATGAGCACTTTAAAGAATAAGTGAGTAGCAGACAACACCAGGTGCCCGGTCTATATCCCCACTGGGTTTGCAGGAATCTGTCAACCTTTCAGGAAACATATCTATCAGGACTGCCTCAGTCACTATAAACAATTGCTAAGTTACCACCAAAAAGTAACTCACAACCAACACGGTACACATTAAACAAGTTACATGATATACATATACAAACATACATAAATAGTGTCAGATAGAAACTAAACATTGCACTGAAAGAGAGAAACTTTCTGGGTGATGATGTGCTTTGAGAATCTACAACCAAACTATAGCGCATGTTAAATAGAGCAGGATATATGACAATCTGAGTTACTTAAAGGTTTCATATTAATGTTTGAAGATGTTTTACAATAAGCTACTGTCCTTAGAGAGGGAGACCAAAGAAAGAGGAAATGGGAAGAATTCCAGGGAGGAAGTATTTCAGATACTTCATGGAACACAGTGGTCTTATTTATTATTTCTTTATAGAAGGAAGATTTAATGCGAGGCCTCCTTTCAGTCTTCTTCCGAGAAACAGAGGCGTATAGGGTTGGAAAGGAAGCCTTTCGTCATCTGCAGTGACCCAGAGGCCCTGGTCCAGGTAGACCTGCATTCTGGCTGTTTGTGGAGTCTGCCTGTGGACTGCGGCATTGTATCCTCACGGCTACTAGGAGAATGCTGGTTCCTTAAAGAAGCTGTCTTCTGAGGACAACATCTGATTTGCAAACTTTTGGTTTTGCTTTCACACAGGTGTGACATTTTCAAGGGCTTATGCTAATTTGTTTCTTTCCTCTTAGAAGGAACTGAAGCCAAGACTGAATCTTCTTCTATTTATTTTTATTTTTAAAATTTTTTTTGGTACCGGGGATTGAACTCGGGTCCTTGCGCTTGCAAGGCAGAAGACTGAATCTTCATTTGGATGGGATCAGATCCTTAGCACTGGAGTTTTGGTTTTTGTTTCTGCAGTACTGGGGGATGAAACAGGGGCCTTTGCTCTGAGCCACCTCCACATCTTTTTAAATCATTATTATTCTTTTAATTTTGAGACAAGGTCTCTCTAAGTTGCCCAGACTGGGATGGAGCTCATGATCCTCCTGTCACAGCCCCTCCTCATGATGGGATTATGGGGATGCAGTAATTCCCTGACCTTTTCAGCTGCTAATCTCAGGATCCTTCCAGATCCTGCATTTTATGCTTTGGTTGCATTTCAGAGCCTGGGAAGCAGGGCTTTGGGTTTCTCCATGAGCTTCACTACAGTGGGGTCCTGGTAACATTGAGTCGACCTTTGGTAAATGCTCGTATTTTACCATTTACTATGGATGCCAGCCCACTTTGGTAAAGATCTATATGCCTTTTGTCAACATACCAACAAGAATTTTCAAATAACATTTTGTACTAATTCTCTGAAGCGAGACATATCCATTTATGATTTCAGCTTGGCAAGCCACATATAAAAGGTGTATATTGAAATGGGTGAAATAAATGACAGGTTCCTATGAGCAACAAATCTAAGAGGAGTGGAAGTTTTCTAGGAATGGTATTTTAAATTGAATTTGGCACTTTATAAAACTAAAAGGAAAGGTCGGATCAATGATTACTGAAGGGACCTATAATTATTATTTTTTAAACAAGTCACCATTTTCATCTTTTCCTTGACATAAAGATAATAAAACCACTGCATGGACTGGATTCCTACCTTTATATCCTGTGGATTGATGTCAGGATTTGTCTGACACCGCAGGGGTCCCAGAGTTTGAATATGAAAAATATAAAGAAGAAATTCATCGCGTGCAGAGAATGGCCAGCCCACATCCAAAATGGTGTCACTGATTGTGCTTGGTCCAATATTGTGCAGCTGCAAGCAAATGACACAATAGGAAATGGTAGGAAGACAAAATCCACCTATACACACCCCAGACCTGTTTTAGAATGCATCTTTCTGGTTTTAAGTCACCAGGATTATAAATGTTAAAAATAAGAAAAAAAAAAAAAAAGAAAGGAGTCCACATGGGCAGGAAGAGCTTAGAAAGAAGGATGTGCTGGTGTTTTTATTTTGTTTTATTTTTAAATTTATTTTTAGTTTTTTTGGTACCAGGGATCAAACTCAGAACCTTGCACTTGCAAAATCCCCAGCCTTGCTGGTGTTTTGAGAAGACGCCAGTCTGAGGAGTACTAAAATTGGATTTCCTCAGTGAAGATAATACAGATTGAGTACCTTTACCCAAAATCCTTGGGACTAGAGTATTTCAGATGTCATATTTTGGAATATTTTCATATACACAATGAGATATCTTGGGACCCAAGTGTAAAGACAAAATTCACTGATGTTTCATATATACCTTATGCACGTAAACTGAAGGTCATCTCATACAGTGTTTTTAACGTGCTTGTGTTTTGCACCACAACCCACAGCATGAGATCAGATATGGAATTTTCCACTTGTGGCACAGTGCCCCCAAAGTTTTGGATTTTGAAGCACAGTTCACGTTTTCAGATTAAGCATGCTCAACCTGTGTTAACTTTGGCTGTTCACCACAAGTTTATACCTGTTTAATAGTAGCGCTAGAAATACAATTTTAATGGTATGCTTTCAAAACTCAGTGACTTTCTTTACATTGGAATCTGCCTCTTCTTAACTACTAAGTTGTCAATTGCAACCATATGGGACGCGCCCTCTTTCACCCCCTGGAAAATGGGCCATCCATCAAGTGCTAAAGTCTGGGCTCACTGCAGCTCACTATGACTGTGTGCCTGAAAGCTGAGCTCCCTCTGTTTTCATCAGCAAATCCCAAGGCAAGAAGGGCCACATCTCCTAAGAGATGAACGATTTTCATGCACGAACTCTTGTACTCACAGGATACAAAACTGAGCTGAAAACACGGAGCATGTCCACATTTATTGTGGATTTAAAATTTCACCTTCAAAATTGGCAGGGATCCTTTTCCTCCCCACATTTGTGACAATTACCATCATTCCATGAAACGATGAATAATTGTTTTTGTTTATTAGGTGGTCTATCAAAGAGGTATGGTATCTGTTGATGCCGTACATTTTAAGACATGAAGTTGACATGTAAGAAACATTTGAAGATTGCTTTTGGTGCACCTGGTAATTACCCTAAACTTTTATAATCCATTTATGCTAAGATTAGAAGTAGGACTGCTTTATGTAAGATTGAATCAGAATATTTTCCCAAACTTTAAAGTCTCACTTGTCTGCTTCTGGAAAAGTATATTACTCATTAGTGGACTCTTTCAAATCTCAGAATAACTTATTTCTAAGCTGAGTTAAGTAGCTGAAAAGCAAAATTATTGTTATCTGTTTGCCTTGTGCTCATCTTACAAGTACATTTTTCTGTACAAGAGACAAGCAAGCATCCATCAAACTTTCCCTCAGGTACCTTGTAGCTGGTGACCTTCAGTTTAAGAGATGGGTGAGGCTTAGAGATATCCAAAAATGCGGGGAGAATTGGAAGGAAGTCTAGGCAGCAACTCATTTGTATGAATGGGCTGTCCAAATATTAAAGAGAGCAAAAAGTAACTTTGTAGAACAGAAGAGCAGTACAAGATAAAATGCTTCTTCCCACGTAGTGGCTCTCACCACTGAGAAGCAAGTGACCAGGCCTGTGAGTACTAACAGGACCTCCTCCCCCGACCCACTAGGACGCGAGAGCATAACACCATGAATTCAGGCAGCTCATAAAGCTTGGGCCTTGGATTGATGCTTTTAAAGGTGCTATACACTTAATTAGCAGAGAGCACAGGAATGAAACCCTAGCACGGCTTAAACACAGAAGACAGCTACCTCATAAATGTGTTCCACCAATGGCCCAACTTCCTCTTCGTTGCGGGGCTCCTTTTCCAGTTGCCAGTTATGAATGGGCAGAACAACTTGCGGAGGGTGGGATACGCTGAAACATGGAATGGTGGGTTAATTGCTGATAATGGCCCAGGTAAGGAATATTTCACCACAGTGTTCACTGACAACAGAAGAAACGGTGCCCCTTAATTCACCTGAGAACATACTGCCTACACGGAAAAACTGCGGGAATTGATATCTAGCAAAATGACTAAAGCGAAACATCTACTATTTCACACTCTTAAGTAGTGGTCTGTAGTTCAAATCAACTATGTTTTGTCACCTCATTTCTTGAACAGGAAGGGGCAGAGCAAAGAGCACTCTTGAGGTGAATAATTAAGCATACACGTACATAGATACCTTTATCTCTTCTGTGTTTTTGTGTGTGCGCGTCTGTGTGTATACAGGCTGTGTAATCCTCCTTTAAACCACATCAGGAAGTGAGACATTTTGTGTGAGCGGATGAATATCTAGTAAAGTTGTGTGTTGAGTTTAATGTCTAGTTGTAAAGAAATACAGTTTTTAGTTAAAGACTTCAGAATAGAAAAAACAGTCACTGTGTATCTCTTCTTGGATTTCTGTTAATGTAACCAGACCTCTCCTGAGGGCAGGCACAAAATAAAGCATAGGATAGAGTTGCCTTAAAGAGAACTCAAGGGTAAGAAAGAGTTAAATGGTGTATTCATGTGAGTAGGAGATTAATTTCTATATCTTTCCGCAACACACATGATGAGGACCCTAGGGTGAATAAAATTTATTATGTAGCATTATTTTGTGTTAAAAACAGATTGTGAACTAAACTGGTATTTTAAATAAATCATAAAAAGAATCATTGCCTAAGAAAATCGATGCTGTGTAGAAGATTTTAGGCTAAAAAAAAATCTATAAAAGAATTTCTAGACCTTTGGCTAAAAATAACTTCAACATAAAACATCTCTTGTGGCAATTAAATATCTCAAATGCCTTGTAGGGGGTATTCGATAATTACTGCAGCCTCTTAAAACTTCAGAGTTATTTTTCTCCTCCTCTGGGTAATCTCCCTCTGAGGCAGAAAACATAAAATGTATTGGGTTAAATTCCCACCATAGGGCAACTAATTCAGGTCAGTCTGTCTGTGGGCTCATCTGGAAAGCTGCGACACACTCTTTGGGTTGTCTACCACAAATGATTGGAAAATGCTTCCAGTGCTTTTGGTCAAAGTTAATTTGGCTGCATTGTGTTTTAGAAGTGGGTGCAGAGATACATTTGAAAATGGGTGACCCACAGATATGTTACTAAATTATAAAGCCCTTCATATACAGCTTTCACTTGTACCTGTTAAATAAAAATGTGGGTCCATAGGGCCAGGGATTTTGGTGCCGTCGCCTGCCTCACAAGCACAAGGTCCTGAGTTCGATCCCCAGAACCAAAAAAAAAATCAACTCTCCACAATGTGGGTCACAGCTACACTGCCCTGACCCCTCAAAATTCTCGACCTTTGTATTGGCTTGTCACTGTGTGGTTCTCTTTTCTTACTTGACCTGGTCAAACTATATTCAGCTCCACCTTGAGGGACATGGTAGATGAGCACAAGATGTGTCAAGCTGCTTCATCAGAGGGAAACCCGGGCAGCTTGGACTTTCCTTTCCACAGGGTCTTGCTCACTTTGCACTAAACTCCTCACTTTCTTCTCTGCTTGGCAACACAGCGGGATCCGTGCCCAACATCCACTATCCACTGTGAAGTTCTAGGGAATATTGTATTTTCCAGCATAGAGAGAAACTAGAAAAGAGGCTGAATACATTTTCTCTGCAACCTTTTTGTTCTTCTAGTCCTGGATCTTGCAGAACTGGTGACACCTTCTCTAGGATCACAGAGGCATGTATCTTTAGACCTTGGCAAGTACTGTGGGGTCAACGTGGCCAGAAACTCTCCTGTACAGAGAAGTAGTGGCTCAGCTGTAGGAGAGAACTAAAATAATGTTTTCTTAAGACCCTCTACTCTGTTTCCAATATGCTGTGTATCCTGGGCGGGGTGGGGGGGTCGCTAAATTGCAGTAATAGTTAATGAACCCAACTGAAATTTCCTGGTGGAGTTCTGTAGCAAAATCAGAGGAAAAACTATGAAGAAACAGATAAGTTATACCAAGGCCCAGCAAAACCATCCAAAGCTATGGTTCACAAATCTCAGACATTTACCTACTAAAGAAGACTCAGATCTGGACTAAACCATGGTGCAGAGTGACCCCAAACTATCTCAAAGACACACTAAATCAGTGAATGTTTTTGAAAGAGGGGAGCAAGCCTCCAAGAAAAACAAAATCAACTACCTCACTTGGTATTAACAGTCCATGCAGTAATAGAACCACTCCTACTGAACAGTGCTCCCTCCTAAGAAAGACTGGGGCACCATTAATGGTTACTTTAGATACTAGGGGGGGAGTTCTGAGGAGAAGTTCATTTTTTAAATTAAATTGTATTTGAGGTAACTGTATATTTATATGCGTTTATAGGAAATAACATAGGGAGTTCTCATCTACCCTCTAACCAGTTTCCTCGATGGTGACATCTTACAGAATCAAACTGCGCTATTTTGTGCAATATCACCATCAGCATATTGGCATTGATGTAGTCAAGGTACAAATCACATCTTTCAAGTTAAAGATGCCCTTTTATAGTGATACTCACTTCATTCCACCCTACTCCCTCCTCATCTCTTGGCAACAACCAATCAGCTTTTGTAATTCTGTCATTTCAAGAATGTTACATAAATGGAAATATACAGCATGTAATCTTTGGAGACTGGCTTCTTTCACTCGGCATAACTCTGGGGAGACCCATCCAGGTTGATCCATCTGTCAATAGTCCGGTCCTTTTTAGTGTTAAGTGAAAGTCTGCAGTGTGGATAATCACTGTTCATTCACTGTTCACCCACTGAAGGACACCGGGGGGTGTTTGCAGTTTAGGGCTATACAAATAAGTTGCTATAACCATAAATGTGGCAGCTTTTTGTGTGTGTGTGAAATTAAGTTTCCATTTTCCTGGAATACAGTTCATTTTCTGGAATAAAGGAATCAGAGTTTTGCTGTCAGGAAGTTCAAATCTGGGCATTTATTAATATGGTGTGAATCCTATTTTTAAAACCTGGTTTTCAAGACCCATGAATTCCAGACCGTGAGACTTGTCGCTTCCTGTCTGAGACAATGCTCACTCTCTGCCGTGGATCGTACTGGATCTTGTGCAGGCCTTGGTTTGGCACGATTGTGATCTCAGTACAAACCTATTCAACAGTTGTCGAGAGCCATTCTGTGTAAGTTTTGGGGAAAACCATTTCATAACTAAAGTATGAGTACAGCTGTCTTGGGCCCAATGTTGCTCTGCCCTTGAGCCAGCTGTGTCATGTGGAGACATAACCCTGTTTTGCCTTCAGTCACAGCTGAGGCCTGAATGGTCCCATGATGTGCTCAAGGGCAGGATTACATCAGCTGAAGACCTCCTGGTTCTTTAAAAGCTGAGTAGTAATACAACAAGAGAAATGTTTTACCTGGGCAGGGATGAATTCCCTATCAGCTTAACTCACCCCACCTATTTTTATAAGAATGCTCTCCTTACTGCCTTCGTCAATATAAGATTCTCATCAACAGGGTTGCTGCCACCCTCTAAGTCACCCATTCTCCCTCCAATTACTGTGCACCCAATAAATAATAGCCAGCTCGGGGAATCCTTGTGTGCTCACTCTGACCTCCCAGCAGTCCATATACTTTGAAATTATGCAAGTCTCCATTGTCTTTTTTCTTTGGCCCTCACAGTCCCCCTTTCTAGGCTGTTGGATAATTGATCATATTCCTATAAATATTGATTATTTTCTTCCTATCTATCTATCTGCCTATCATCTCTTCATGAGGTGCTCCTGATGGCCAAATCTACTTTTTACACATCTGTACTAAATTCATCCTTTGTATCAGCAAGGGGCATGGCTCAAAGACAATGTTCATTTTATTTAGCTATGAAACAAAAGGAATAGTTTTCAGTATTTTCCCCCTACTCAAAAAATCTGTATTTGTTTATTTTTAAACTACAAATAACAGTAAATTTTTTAAAACCACTGTGTAAGATAATCCATGTTAAAACACAATCAAATAAACACCATTGGCTAAGAGAAAATTAGATTTTCCTGAAAACTGAACATGGAAGATTTTCAACATAGCAGCTGTGTTCCTTGAAGAATTAAACATCAGAACCAATGTTTTTGCTGCATAGTCAGATGAAAGAGTTTTACTATGTAAAATGACCAAAAAGAATTTTAACACTGTCTTAGAGAATAAACTGTGGTCAGTCATTGGGCATTAACTCAGCAACTGAAATTATTGAATACGTGTGAGAAACCTAATTTTAATTAATTATTTGGCTTATTGTCAAAAACTATAGAAATGTCTTTCTTTGTTTTATTGTGATGGTAGAAATATTTTTGAAAACACTAATTTCATGACAGGGATATAGGAAAATAAATAGTTACATTAAATTCTTAGCTATCTTGGATAGCTGACTTGGGACTTCTCAAATAAAAATATAAATTTTTATATTTATTTTGAAATCATAAAACAGTTTAAGCTTATTTTTGGTTTGCAAAAGTAAGTTAAGCTAAGCTTTAAGAACAAAACAAAAGTTCACATGTACTAGCTGAAACTTTTGACAACATATAAAAATAAGAGAGTAAAATGTAATGCTTGTGGCTTCTTCTCTGATTTTTAAAAATAACATTTATCCCACCAAGCGAAATAGGGGGATGAAATGAGAAATCTACAAAAATAAAACAAATACTGGTTACCTGTATATCAAAATAATGAACTCCCATGAATTAACTAATGGCTTAAATAAAAATAAAAAAATATTTTGAAATGACTTATAATGAAAATCCAACATATAAACATTTTAAGGGACCAGGGATTTAGCTCAGTGACGGTGGCACACAGCTAATAGCACCAAATGCTTATGTGAGAAAAGAAGGGAGGTCTTTAATCACTGTCACCTGGTGTTTCTGTGAAACTAAGGCCTAACTGGAAAATAAACTGCAGCTGTAAGTAATAGCTGGTCATTACCATGGTGATGGTCAGTGTAATGCAGATTATAGCTCACTATTCTCTGGCTGTATGGCTACCCAGTAATGGTAGGTAAGGCAAAGTTATGGCTTATATCTAGATGTCCCCCCAAATTCTCATGCACTCATAGATGGGACTTTTCAGAGGTGTCTGGATCTACAGTGTATGATGCTGGCATCAAGGGTGTGTGATGACTAATTTAGTCCACTGATTGGTTTGGCATAGTGTGGATAATGCCAAGGCACTCCCTGGATGTGAGTGCTACCCACCTTAAGGGTACATAGCCTGGATAGAATATAAAGGACAGAAAGAAGGCACCTGTTGTCATTTGCTTCTTCAATACTTTGCTGCTTTGCTGCTTTCTACCTTCTGCCTACCATGAGCTGTTTCCCTCCTGAGATGCCCTATGCCATAACGTCCTGCCTCAGACCCAGCCAGCTATGAACTGAAACCTCTACAAATTGTGAGCCAAATAAACCTCTCCTCCTTTAACTTTGGGTGCTGCTATTTTTTCTTAGCAACAAGAAAAATAACCAAGAAAACAAGGCTAGGCTGATGGGGGCTGGTGCTTTTGATCTTTAACTTGGTCTTATCTTCAGGGAAACATGAGAATTTCAACACAGAGATAAATTTCAACACTAGATAAATAAGAAGATATCAACCGTACAGAAAGCAGAAAGAGGTAAATAACAACAAAAAAGAAGGAGGAAGAAAGCACAAGTAGAAAGCAGAAGCAAGCAAGCAAGAAAGATGATATAGATGACAGATATATACATACTAAAGAAGGAGGAAGAAAGCACAAGTAGAAAGCAGAAGCAAGCAAGCAAGAAAGATGATATAGATAGATGACAGATATATACATACATACATACATACATACATATACATACATACATACATACATACATACATACATACATTCATAGATCTGGTTCTTTGGCAAAAATCATTAATTCTCATCATACTGATCAGAACAAAAAGGAGAAGGTACAAATTGACAATATCAGAAATGATGGAAAGGATACACTATAAATCCTAAGGATATTAAGAGGAAAATGAGAAAATATTATGAACAATTTTATTCCAGTATGTGGAACAATTTAGATAAAATAGACAAAATCCATGAATGATAAATTACCTAGGCCATCCAAGTAGAAACAGCACGATTGGCTTTATAATGATTAGCTTTATATCTAAAAATGAACAACACTCCCATATATAGGGCAAAATGTAAGATCCAGAAATAGATCCTCACATAAGAAGAAGTGATTTTCAACAAAGGTGCTGAAGCAATTTAATGGGAGAGAGAAGGATGATCTTTTCAACAAAATGTCCTAGGAACACCTGTGAAGTGAATATTCGTAAGTAAAAATGAATCTTGGCCCTTACCTCTGACCAGGTAAAAAATTAACATAAAATTAATTGTAGACCTATATGTAAAACACAAAATAATAAAACTTCTAGTAGAGCACATAGAAGAAAGTTGTATGACTTTGGAAAGGCAAATATTTCTTAGCTGGGACACCAAGCCAAACTATGAATAGCTGACCAGTTGAATTTAATTGCAGTGTAAGACTTCTGGTCTTTGAACAGCACAACTAAGAAAATGTAAAGCCATACTACAGTTACAGGATACATAAATGAAAAGCAATGTATCCAGAACAGATAGAGAAATAGTACAACTCAGTGATAAGAAGCTGAATAACCCAGTGAATAAATGGATGGATAACAGAAAGAGATACTTCAGCAAAAAGAGATGCTCATGGCAGATAAGGCTCGAAAGAAAACTCAACATAACTGGTCACTAAGCAAATGGGATAGAACGTCAGTGACATACGTGACACTCTTATGAAAATGACTTAATACAGATACAACAACACACACTCGCCAGAGGGCAGCACGACTGAACTCTCACACACTGCTAGAGGAGACGCAAAAGGAAGTGTTGGGCTGGGAATCTAGCTCAGTGGTGCTGCTCTTGCCTGACAAGTGCAAGGTCCTGAGTTCGATCCCCGGCACAGGAGGAGGGTAAAAGAGGGAAGTGTTACAGCCCCCCCAAAAAAAAACCACACAAGCAACTTCCTCCAAACATAAGTGACCACCTAACTTAGCAATTCCATGTGTGGAAAACAAATGCTCCAACAAACAGCTGCAAATGAATGCTCTCACAGCAGCTTTACACTTACTAGCCCCACACTGCTGACCACTAACTGGGGAATGAACACATAACTCACCGGACACCAATTCAGTGGAATATTTCTCAGCCTTAAAGAAACGGACTCTTGAAACATTCAACAATGTGGATGTTTCTCCGAGATTCACAGTAAGTGGAAGAAGCCAGGCTGATTATGAATGAGTCTTTTTCTGTGACATTCGGGAGCAGGTAAAAATATCATGACAGAAGATAGATCAAGGTTTCCAGGGTCTAGGGGTGGGAGAGGGTCTTATTACAAAGGAACCACTTGGGCTGAAGGCACAGTGCTGTGCTGAATTTCTTGTGATGCTATAACTCTTCAAACTGGAGTCTCAGAAAAGTGAATTTTACTTCATGAAGTTTATATATCAATAAACCTGATTTTAAATAGAAATCCCAGAGCCCACAAACTGAAAAGATACTTGTTGGATGTCTAACTGTTAGATTAATGTCAAAATTCTTGAGTACAAATGATTTTTTATGCACTAACAAGAAAAAGTCAATCCTCTGAGGAGAAATACATATAAAGAATTAACAAGAAACTCCCTGAATAGGAAGAATGAAGAGTCATGACCTATACTTCAAAAGCATCTCAATTTCCCTTGGAAATTAGGGAAATACACTTTGATCTTCACATGCATACTATTAACTATCAGATGTGCTTAAAATTAAAAATGAGATGACTGTAAGTGTTAGTTGACAATGTAAAGCAGACGAGACTTTCATCCACTTCTTGTAGGAGTGCAATTTGCTGTAACTATTTTGAAAAAGAGTTTGGCATTATTTAGTAAAGTTAAAGGGTGTAAGCACTCTGATCCCTAAATTCCACTTCCTGACGTGTCTGCTGACATTCTTCCTTGTACCTAGCAGAAGACATGTATGGAAAAATGCTACAAAAAAATGAAAAAAGCAAAGTCCCAAATTTACATCAATGGTGGAAAGGCTGAATGACAGTACAGTATGTTTTTACAGTACAATCCTGTGGTGGAAACGAGGCGAATGAGCAACGAGTACATGCAGTAAAATGAGTGAATCTCAAAAATTCATCTGAATGGGAAGAGTCACAGAAGTGTACATAAATATGCTCTCATGTACAAAAATTTTTAAAACCCTCTGTTTCTGCAGGCAGGATAGCATGGCCACTTTGGAGCATGAGCTTCAGAGCCTGGTTGCCTGCGTTTACATCCTGGCTCTCTGTTTTCTACCTGTATCATCTTCCCTCACTTCCCTCACAGTTCCCTCCCTTTCACCTTTAGGAAGCTAGCAGATCAGTGGACAAAGAAAATGTCATATTTACACACAAGGGAGCACCACTCCGCCCTAAAAAGGCTGAACTCGAGTCATGGAACTCGGATGCACCTTGAGATTATGTTGAGTGCAATCAATCAGGCCCACAAGCTTAAACATTGCATTTTCCTCTTATATGACAAACCAAAAATATAAACAGAGAGCAAAATGAAAGATAGATATTAGGAAAGGGAGAGACAGATCTTTTGTGACGGGAAAAAGGACCAAGAGACAGAGGGAAAGAGGATAAGAAAAGAATTAAGATGTGTCAAGTGCATGTGCCGACCCCCATGAGGAATGTAATCATTATGTGCTGCAAACATAGACGAATAAAACTGTAAATTAACAGAAGGATGCTTAGCACAGCTTACAGGGGGAAAAAAAATGTGCTGATGCGGGGTAGCGCACAGAAGGCTCCAATAAATTCTAGGTAGCATTATTATTCTCCAATCCACTAGGGACAGCCTCAGTGATACCCAGGCAGTGGGGGAGGGCCCTGTGTGACAGCCTCAGGACAGGAGTAAGAGGACCCACAGGGACTGTGCAAACTCCACAGCTGTCCCCATAGACAAATGACCACCGCATAGGACCACAGGACCCATGGAAAAGGAAGCGAGCCAGGATTCTGAACCCCTGGAGACAGTGTGGTCCAAAATACCTGGTGACATTTTCAGTCCAGTCCTTGAATTTTCTAAAGACAGCAAAATTACAATAACAAAATCAATGCAGTCCATTTCTGATTCCCCACCCCGGCATGGATTTTCCAACTGGTGGTCATTCTGAGCCTTTTCCTTGAGCACTTTCCTCCTATCTCTCAACTGAGAGACCAAAAGAAAAGATAAGGAATGTAGATTCCATACTCCTTACCTTCAAAGAGCTGCTTATTAAATCCAAGATACAGTATGGTGAAACTAAATGATCATTATGCTAAAATAATTATGAGAAAAGCGAAGATTTTTTTTCAGGGACTCACACATTCATGGATTTTCTTAACTTCTCATCAACTAGCTTTTATAATTTGATTGCTGACCTGTCAGTTTGGGGAATTGAGCGATCTCTTGTTTTGATATCCTTAGAGCTCATTAATACATAGGTTTACTATATTTTCTGATAGAAGTTGGGATGTATAGAAAAGAATAAAAACTGATAACCAGAAAGAACAGTGACCTCACCTGCATTCAGAATATTCTGTATAGCTTTTGCTAGTATTCCATAAGGCTTTACATGCAGAGAACTATGGTTGTACTATTGAAAAGCCTTGTTTATTACTTACCCTCTTATTTCTACTTGAGCAACAGCAGTGACGTTGATTTGCAAACTCACAAAATTGCTATCCGAATGGTCCTTGTTGGAACTGAAACACAATGACACATACTTTAAATGTATTTTCTCAGATGTGTTGCGCACTACAATCATGAAAACATTCCGTATATCACACTTGAAGCACACATTCATAACCTGGTAGTTTGGAAGACAATGGCATTTTCATTCTACAAAATCATTGCCATTTGTACAGGGAAATGTTAAGATCATTTATGATCAGCAGTAACGAAACAATTTCCTATCAGGAGATCCTTTATCTGGAAATACAATCGATTCCTGGAGATGCTAACACTTTTTAATTTCAATGGCTAAACCCAAAAGGCAATGAACTGAGTTTGTTTTCCGGTTTATACCAAGAACAAATTCCTGAACATCTCTGCATGTCATGTTCATGGCCCATCAGATGGGGACCAACAGCACAGTCAACTCCTGATTTTCCATGCTAATAAAGAGGAGACTTGGCATGAATAATCCAGAACAGCACATAATTGAAAAAGCATTTGTATTTGGCTCTGGAAGGCATCATACCATACATTGTTTTGGCAGCAATTTTATCTCCCTGTGGTTTATTTCTTAAGTTAATATTAAAAGAAGAGTAGATTCACTGCATAATCACTGGCTGCGTAGGGTGTAGAGTGGGATGTGAATTAGAAACGTGGGTAATGGGGAGGAGCAACAAGACCCAAGGAGGCTGAACGCTGCACCAACTGTCAATCCAAGATGACATGGGTGTTCATGAAAGACATCAGGAGTCTTAATTCGGGAGGTGTGCATTCAATACTACTCATTTGAACAGTGGCAAAATTAGTTTTTAAGTTTGGTGTTTCATTCTCTCAAGCAAATGTAATTAGGTACAGAACCTAATTTTAAAAAATGCATGTGTTAGGCTGTCAGTGCTATAAGTAAAATACATTATACCTCCCAAGAGGTTTAAGTAGAGACCAATTCCCAGGTGCATCGTGTCTGTGCGTTTTTTGTTCCTGTGCTCATTCTTCAGAGTCATCCACAGGATCCAGCAGGGTTAAACAAACAAGTACAGTGGCCTATCTTACAGAGCTTGCTTATACTCAGGTCATCACAAGATGGAAGCGCCCCCTGTTGGGCATGGAACCTTGCTTGGATTTGCTGGATAAGCTCTAGTGCTGTGATGGTGGGAATGGGCCAGCTTCACATTAGATTTTAAAACTTTCCAAATGAGAGGGCTGGAAAGGACCTGATCAAATTCTGCTTTCAAAGGAGGAAGGGGCAGAATAGTTCCCACAGCATTTTAGAAAAACCCTGGTTGGCTGCATGTACTGATAAGGCAACTTAAACTGCAAACGCATAGGAAAAATACAAACAGGCAGACGTCAGCTCCTTTCCTGTCATTCAGTACGAATCACTGCTGAGCTTGTGACACGGTCCCCAGAGGGATCTGTACACTAAAGTTTGAAGCCCAGATTCAAGGCCATTTCATTTTCTTTCCTTCTTTTAATGGCATGGTTCAAAATTCCAGCCACTGATAAATCATTCCACTTGTTACAGACTTAATGGTGCCAAATATATTTTGACTAATTCTCTAGCTTGGGAATTTAGATCTAGTTGTTTGGCAGATTGATCTAATTTTGTTTTATTTCCAGCTCGCTCTTGCTTTGCAGCAATGCAAACTAGAATTATGAAAAGAAGCTATACTGAAGCTATTTGCATAATGATTCCACTGCCCTTTTGTTCACAAACATGGTAACACAATTTCCACTCCAACAGACTGAAAAAGCAAATAGATGTCAGACACTGGAGTCATCTTTGAACCTGCGTGTCACAGGAGGCTAATAGAGGCAGAATTACTGAGATGCAGCAAGAGCAATGGTGGATGTGGACTCTAGACTTTCTGGCTGGCTAATTAGGATGGGCCCCTGTCACACAGATGGGCCAAGACAGTCACTACTGCCTGCTAGTGCTGTCAACAAAACGTTCGGTATGATGTACAACTTAGAGGCTTCCTTGACCTCTTTCCTGAAAGGAAAATTCCCTCACTAACATCACTACCCCATTCAAAGGAGCCACCCATCACTGCCCGGAAGGCTGAGCTATTTATGCTGTCGGTGCTTGTGCTCCACAAGCAATGGTGACTTTCCTCTACTGCACCCTGTGTCCTACATGATGGACAGACACGTTTTTTCACCTTATTGCCCCAAGGCACTTTGCTTTCGGCTGTTTTCTATTTCCTCGATTGCTTTTGTTTTCTGTGGCCTTTGGAAAGTCAGCGAAGATGATACCCTGTTCATTTTAACAGTGCTGAGCAAGTGACTCCAAGGGTGATCTTTCCAGGCTGTGTGGATGTGGCAAGCGCAGTGTGGGACCTGCTTCCTCAGGGAGGAAAATGCTTGTGACACACAGAGCGAGGGCGTGGAAAAACCATTTTGTGTTAAGACTTGGTAACGGGAAATTTTTTTAAATTTATCAATTTATAAAGCCCACTTTATTTTTGGCTTCTGTTTATGGAAAAAGGGACTAAATGTGGAAAATGGCAATCACTGTATAGTTGTAAGAGTTCAGACTTCAGAGCACTTGGTTTGCTTTGTTTTTGTTTGAACACATTGAAACTGAATCTAAAAGTACCCATCTCAATCCTCATTAGCACCTTTGGAAGTGGCCAGCGAAGCAAAAAGATAAGTGCTCACCTCCCAAACATCTTAGTGTTTGAGTTTTAGAAGAATTCCCAAACACTTTTATCTCCATAATGTGCGTTTTACGTGCTTCAGTTGTGTTGCCGGTCTTCCTGCATTTTTATATTTTTAGGACAATGTTAAATAATCACGAGTAGAACAGAATATGAGCGTGACCAATTTGTGGACGAAAGTGAATGTTAAAAGTGTGGTTATTTCTGTTTTCCATCAAATTCAGCACTTTGTTACTAAGTCATTATTTTTTTATATTTGTTAAGTTTGTTGATACATGTTAGGTATAGAGTACAGTTACATTCATCACTGGACTCTTGTACCTTTACATAACTTATCTTGGTTCTTATTATTCCCCATTCCCCAGCCCTCCCTCAGCCCCTCCACCCTTCCCTGTTTACAAAGACATTGTTTCCATGTTTTTTTCCTTTTCACATATTTTTTCTTTTCCTTTTTTCCCTTTCCCCCACCCCTCCCACTTCCTCTACTCTTTCAGATGTTTTCTTCCTATTACACAATATCTGTTATACATTTTGATCCTTATTTACATTTCTACTTTTCACACCAGATAAACTATTTGGTATTTACACATGTGTGACTTATTAATTTCACTTAGCATGGCCTCAGTGTGCATTCACTTAGCTATAAATCTCTCTAGTTTCTCATTCTTTGTGGCTGAATAGTACTCCATTTTATAATTTATAATTCATTATTTTAAAGGATGATCTACAGAGTGGACATAGAGATGTAATTTAGAACATTATCTAGTGTCTTCTGTGGCTTAAGTGAACTACTATTTGCATCTTTGCTCTTATTAATAATTTATTTACAGTCAAGAGAAAAAAAGCAAATGCTGACGAATCTTCATAGCAGAGTTTCTTTCTAGAAAAGGTCATGTATTTCCTAAGAGATGTTATTCTCCTCCTCTAAGTGACACAAAGCTTCCTGCTACTACAGAACCCATGGCACAGACAATGATGGAGAGCAACAGAAGCTTCGGACTGCTGTGAAGGGTGATAGTGGTCCCTTCCCTGGGGCATTTGACTCACATCAACTTAGTAATATAAACATAAGATTTCCAAAATGAAAATATTTAGGACTATGTGAACTCCTTGGGAAACACATATTTCTGTAGACACGATGAACTAATTTAATATTCTTTTGATAAAATATATACTGTGGAAGAATTCATTCATCTGCATCTCATTGCTAATTTGGATAAAGTAAACATGTTTTAGAATCCAGCAGAAATTAAGTTAAATTCAAGAAAAAGAAACCTAGGTAAGGTCAGACAGGGGTACCTAAGCTAAGTTAGAAAGTCTTCCTCTCTAGAAAGCTGGGGAAAAGGTAGTTTGTGACACGGGTTACAGATTTTTATAATCTGCTACATTCTTCTGATTTTATGTATTCTAAAAAAACAATCTGAGACCTTTCATTGATGTAGCTATGAAAAGGTAATATGCTGCACAGAGTAATTATTCTAAAAGTTATCACAGTGTGATAACTTAATATCTTGTGAGTATTAAGATAATTTCAAGATTAGCAACATTGTATTACTATTGAAAAACCCAGTTGAAGATACTGGCATTAGCATCTTTTCTTTAGTCAGAGCGAGAGTTCAAACTGGGCAAAGTACACATAACAATGGAAGAGTTGCATGTGCTGTCTATATCGGTGCTTTGCAAACTTTTTTTAACTGGAGGCTGAAAAAAAATATATCCTTGTCTCAGGACATCTTGCCAACACATTTACATTTTCCTGAATGGACCATTTCATAAGCAGTTGTATATTATATTCTATTTGATTTCCTTTCTTTTCACATGGGTCTAGAGCCATTAGATAGATTCCATTATGAGGTATTGGGTTGAAGCTCATAGCTTGAAAGCTCTGGCTAGCATTTCCCACTGCTCTGTGGGTTTTCCTGCTCAGAAAGTACTAGTTGTGACTGTGAAGGACCAAAAACAGTAGACAGAAAATCGGTAAAATCATAGCTGAATTCTTGAACAAGGTCGTCCTTAGAGAAGGGAGGCAGTGACCTACAAGTTCAGTTTGTTGTTGTTAGATCATTGTTTTACCTTCCAAATATGGTATGTCACCTGCACCCTGTCCTGGTGCTCTCACATAAACCAGGAGAGATGAGTTCATACTTGAAAACATGGGAGACTTCAAGTTTGCACATGCAAAATCTATGCTTTTTGCATAATTGGTTCTATCTTATAAGTTGGTCTATATAATGTAATCTCTCTTCAAAAGCCTAAAATATTGAAAAAAATGAAGTAATTAGGGAAAACCAAAGGATAACTGGGCCATGAACGTCTAGTTCTACTTCAGAAGAACTTTAAATGTGAAAAGCTTGACAAGTGGTCTTTCACCATTAGTCTCTGTGTGCCTAAGTGCTGTCCATAACATAGGCATGAAAAGGACTAACCTTCTGATTTGGAGATCGAAGTTAATGCTCATGTTTGTTTTCTCCAGACGGGGAACTGCAAATCGGAGACCCATAGAATACTGGAAACAACAACAAAACACACAGGATACAAAGTTATTGCATAGGAGGGAGCTTAGAGACAGCATGACAATTGTTCCTAAGTAATCCCTCTAAAACCCTACTCCTTATCATGGTAATGTTGTCTTATCTGTTTCTGCACTTGGTAGCTGGGAGCAGAGAGGAAGCTAGGCAATGTACACCCAGAAGAGTCAGGTCAACAGGCAGAAGTGAAGCCTCCTTTATCTTAATGCAACTTCTGAGTGGAAGAAAATAAAGACCCTTTACCGTATGAAACACAATGAAAAGATGGGAGATCACACTGGGATAGGGAGCACTCATTAATTTATCAAGTGTCACACGTAAAACTATGATTGGTACAGTGGCTGGAACACAGGACGTGCTCAAAAATGCTTGCTAGATAAATGAATAGCGTTGAGAGAGCCTGGACAAGAAAAGTAGTGGTGTGATGAAGGACCATCGGGTTGTGTGGGTGAAGGGACCTGTATTCCACCTCTTTAGGTAAGTCCCTCGCACTTCATGGTCCTTGGTTTCTTTCCATACAGAAAGAGTTTAGATCACCCAGCACTCAGTTCTGCAACAGTGATGCAAACCAAGTGCCCCACACACTACATTTGATGTCGTACATTTTACTAACAACTGAGTACATTTAGTATGCGTTCCATATATGACTTTCATTAGAAAACTGTTAATCACAGAAGTGTAGACAAATCCCATACAAGTATGGGGTGCGCTGCATCCCATACAAGTATGATGCATAACGTTATCTGGGGGGTAAATGTTGGTAACTTTATGACCTCTGCTTACCTAAAGTTAGTTTATGAACTAAGAAATAAATTCTGTGTTGTAAAACAAGATGATCTGGGTCACTATACATTTTGGTTCCCTTTGCCCATTTAGCCCCGTACCCCTCTTTTTCTCCCACTTCTGTTTTGCACTAACTGAAAACAACCCAATGTAAGAGAGGAGACTGATTTATGAGTCTATAATGTTTCTGTTTGATCGGCATTTATGCAGCTTTTGAAATTATAGCTGTGAGGTTAATGCAACAATGTGGATGAAATAAATGCTTCTAATATAATGACCAAAGAAGAACACGGGTTATAAATTTCTTTGTGTAATGTGCATCAGCTGTGATTTGAAAAGTTTATACATGAGAAAACTACTATATAACAGCGGAGACACAGTATAAAAAAGTATCCCAGACTAATTTGTCAGGAATAGCTGTATAGGTTATTTTTCTTCTCCCTTATTTCCCAAATTTGAAAAACTGCTCTTTTTTTAATAATTTGAAAATGGAGAGAAACAAATGCAACGATAATATCAGGAAGGAAGCAAAATAGTAGCTAACATGTATACAAAATTACGTTACTTAGTGTCCCGAGCCCTGTACTATGCTCTACATGCCTTATCTCATGTAATCAGGACAACCCTGTGAGGCAGGTACTGTTACTGGTGACATTTTACAATTGGGCAGCAATCATGAATTAGAGAGATTAAGAGCCTGCTCCAGGGGCAGAGCAAAGAAACTACAGGACTGGCATTTAATTCCTTGCAAGCGGACTCCAGAATCTATGTTCACAGGACTACAGATTATGAATCAAAGCAATAATCAAAACACGTTAAAAACGATCAGTAATAATATGAAGTAATGCTAAATCCTCGCTTTTATCATGGGTCATCCTCCCCAGGTGCCAGGAGCCACACACTGTCCCAGAAGCTTTCCTTAGGTCACAACATTATACTGTTCCCCACTTCCCCACAAGTAGGTATTTCCCATTTCAATATGACTTACTAAGCCTTCACAGCTGATAAATGGCAGAGCTGCTATTTAAAACTGTTTTTATTTATTTATTTATACAGTTTTGGTACCGGGAATGAAACTTGGGTCCTTCTGCTTGCAAGGTAGGTGGCAGAACCACTGAGCTAAATCCCTGGCCCAATTTTTTTTTTTAAAACATTCTCTTTTTTTTAGAGCTGCTATTTAAACTCAGATGGGCCTTGATTACAAAACAGGCACCCCTTTGGCCCCAGGAACGAGGAAATTCTTTATAATTCCAAACATAATCTTCCTTCGGGCCTCCTTTGCACATACTCTTCTCTCTTCTTTGGGAGATTTCTAGGGTTGTTTATTTGTTTTGTTTTGTTGCTTCCCATTTGGAAAACTATTCAGACTTCCAATGTCTTGCAATGACTCTTCTGATCTGTCTCCTCCTTTACTACTCTCCCAGCACTTAACTTACACCATGCTTATTTTGGATTTTGTACTGAATGAGTAGTGTGTGTTTGCACATTTTTATTATCAGACTAGTTTACTGGTAGGCACAGTGAAGGGGCTGAACAGTGACAGAACCACACACAGGATGAAGACACAATAAGGTGAGTCAGTTTCCTCTTCTCAGGAGGTACCTGTGCTCTTAACTCATACCCAGCCCTGGATCTCTGGACATGGATTCTAAAGAGTTTTTTTTTTTTTTTTTTAATTCTTGCTGAAAAAATTTGCAAGCTGTTATGATTTTCACATTACTATAGCTACTATATAAAAATGACTTCACTATTTAAAAATCAGAAGTTAAATTTTCTGAATGTTATCTAGGATATTTTGTTTTGTTGCCATCGAAAATTACTTGAAAATGGTTTCTTAAAAATATTGGGACTCAAATATTTCTGGTCATTTACGATGCCTTTTTTAATATATAGGGCTTCGTTTCCATTTGGAATTTTCATATAATGCACTGAGAGTCTTTATAAAGTACACAGAGAAGAAGTAAATAAACCAAAGCATTTTATAACAAAACAGAATGCAATAAAACTTGATGTGTTTAAGGGAATTAAAGAGAAGATAAGAAAGCCCTTAGTTTTGTTCTACTATAGACCTCAGAGATAAGGGAATATAAACAATTTACATCCCTGACTTCTAAAGATTATTTGGTGATAAAATGGATTGTCATCCCTTCACATAAACACATTCATGGTTAAGCCCACACTGTCACTTTTATACTTCTCTTTGAATGACACGGGTGGCCAGATTTTGTTCCAAGATTATTCTCAATTACTGATGTTCTTAGACAATCTCTGGTCTAGATTGAACACATTCTTTATTGCCGGAGAAGGAATGACCACATCAACAAACACTAGCCCTATTGTCACCATGCCAACTCCTGCCTATCTGCCCTTAGGTAAACCTCCTTATGTCAAGTTGGGTAGTGGACTTACTTGTGGAAAACCAGTGAACCTCTAAACTACTAACCTCTAAATAGAAGGATTATAGTGAAAAATGCCAACACATTTCAACTTACACATTCTATCTCACATGTCATTATTAATGAATGAATTAATTTGCAATACTTGAGATTAAACCCAAGGCCTTCACACTGAGCTATATCCCTTTTTGATTTCTTAATTTTGAAGAAGGAAATCATTAAATCATTAAATTGCCCAGGCAGGGCTTAAGCTTATAATCCTCCTGGCCTCAGCTTCCCAGTGTCCTGGGATGATAATTGGCGGGTACCACATCTGGCGTGGTTTTTTTGTTTGTTTCCTCTGTTATCCATTAGTTTTTATCCAAGTAGTTTCCACAGTTTTGTAGACTGAACAGGACATGCGCTTTGTGGTCAGGCACGATGTGAGACCAGGTTCTGTCTTTCATCATCCGTGTGACTTTGGTCCATTTGACTTTTTTATGCCTTGGCCTCCTCATCCATAAAGCACAGAGAAAACTTAGAGTTGTTTTAGAAATTCCATGTAACATAAAAAAGCGACGCTCTTCACTAGTGAGAAGTTTATAACAGGATAATTAATAGTAATGAGTTATATGAATTTACCCTTGATGTAAACATTTTTTGACCAAAGAAGTTTACACTTGACACAGATTTTAAATACCCAAGGCTACTGCACTATCATAGCATAAAAGGACAAAAGTATCACTCTACAATAATATCTTGGTGCATAAATTAGGTGGTATTTGAAAGTTTCAAATGCTTAGGTTCACGTGTGAAGCACTGGGTTCATGTACTGGAAGATTGCCCACACCTATACAATGGAAGTGAGTACCTGCCTTCCTCAGGGAAGGAAGGAATTCAGCAGTGACCCCAGAGTTCCTCCTAAAGGATGGCCAAGGGACCATCCTTCCTTGGAACCTACTGCAAAGTTGTCCTAATACAAATTCATGAAATTAGATCCTTTCACAATTTTTTTTTAAACAGGTCATTTCATTGGAAAAGAGAAGTCTGTTAGGTTCAATTTATTCAAGTTTTTATTATGTAGTATTTTCAGATTTCAGAATTTTTTTCTGATTTAAGACTTCATAAAATACTTGGCGCTGTGATTTTGATTAAAGGAGTTACCTTGTGTGCACTTAAAACTGTGATTGCATAAAATAAATTTATTGTCCATGAGTAATCACGAGTAGGAAGTTCCTAAACCTGGAATCAGAAAGAAGAATGCAGAAAAGGAGGAAAACAATCCCCATTTTTTTCACAAGCACACTGGACACTATTACCAATTTTTGCCTTGCTACAAAACAATTCTCTGTATGATTCTTCAAATGTAGAGCTGGTAGAACTGCCTCAAAACTGCAGTATGGTGGTGCTTTATGAGAATACTGGCAAGGCTATTCATATAAGACAGAAAATGGAAATAAGCGATTTTCCTCTGCTAACATCATTTTAATTGGCTTGTTTTAAGACTCTTTTTTCCCCTTGGCTTGCATTCTATTTGTTCATTTTAACTCAAAGCAGTCTGTAGTAAAATTTAAAGAAAAATATTCAGAGAAAATAACTCTAGTTAAAAAAAAAAATCTTTTTTCATAGCCTTGTTAGAATTGAGTCCCTGTGCATGCAAGGTCTAAAGCACAAGCATGTGAAAGCATGTATCTTTTTGTGCTTTCAATCTGCGATTATGACTGTGTGTAGGTTAAACGCTCAGTCCCACCACCCCGGCGATTTCCTGCCTCATTTCTTTCAGCTGCTGCACGTTGAGTGTGTGGTGTGCTGATTGAGGAGATTTGCACTCATTCTCTGGAAAACTCAATTAGACAGACAGAAGTGCTGCCTGCTTCTCTTACATTTGTTGCTGCCACCATGGGGTTCCCGAGGTCACACAGCACCATCCTGGTCACATTTTCCATCTTGTACTCACAGCTCAGGGGCCGAAATCCCTACAACGGGAAAGAACAGCAGCACGAGGTCAGGGGACAGAATGAATTACTACCTCCTGTCCCAAAGCCATGCTGGGGAGCCTGGCAGCTCCCCTTGATTTCAAACACCTGCGCGGGGAACTGTGCACAAAAACTACTCTGTGGCCATTGCCTCTGAAGAGAAACCTGAGGGAAAAATGTAGGGATTCAGGAAGAAGGATGTTGAGTGATAAAACACAGTTTTCATGGGAGAAAATAATGCTTAAATAGTGTTTTATGAACATTTTGCACATTATTTTCACTAATGTTAATGTTAAATTTCCAACATGGAGATCACAAATAATTAACCATGAGTAAACAGGCTTCTTCTCTATGTTATGAAAATAAAATGATGACAATACATATAGATTACCGTAAGACTCAATCCCTTGCAAGAGAATTGCTTGGGACACAAACTTCTCCTACATGGTCTTTCATTTAGAGATTTTATAATCTATTTTGTTCCATCTTCCCACTAGTTAAGGTGTAAAGAGAAATTCTTTTTGTGTGCCAGCGCTTCTAATCTCCTTCCATTTCCCTATACCAAATCCTGATTCGTCTTTGAAGACATGCTTGGAAATATATGTTGAGAAGGTCTCAAGGTTACTCTGATGAGAAGGGAAGAAAAAAGGTTTATTGTCACTGTCTTCTTCTCTTCCCTTTGTATCTGCCTGCTACTCCCTGCTGCCTAGAAATCCACCCCTGCATCCTCGCCAGCCTCTTTCCCCACTTCAGAACCTAACGGCCCTATCCCCTGCTCTGCCTTTGATGAGAGCAATTTATGCTAATCCGTTATTTCACTCTAACTTCTAACACGTCATCAATCTCTTGCTCCTTACCCTCATTCCCAAAGATAAGCTTGCAATAGGATGGAGTGGTGGTTAGGGTAGAGTCTCAACCTCATTGGCTCCGGAATCTGCCCCAGGGATTGGTGGAGACACTTCTGGGTGTGTCTGGGGGGTGTGGGGGCATGGCCTTGGGTACTGCTGTGGCCCTCATGAGCTGAAGCTGTGCGCAAATTAAAGCTGCCCTCCTTTGAGGGGTGTGAATTGGGCAATGCGTCTCAGGGAAGGGAAGGCTGAAGAGTACAGACAGCTTCACAAAGAAGCACGCCTTTGGGAACTTCTGTCCTTGGGAGCAGTTCATGCAAAAGGCTACCAATATGGTGATAATTTACTCATCTGTCAGCAAGACTGAAATTTCCTATGAGCAGTGTGACTTTTTTTCCAAGCAAAGTGCCACAAATAAGCCTCCATTCTTTTCTACTTTATTAAGAAAAGCCCAAAACTAAACCAAGGAGACAAAGGAAGGAGCTAAACAAACTCCAGATATCTAAGCAAAGAATTTCCTGTGTACATCACACATGTCGAGACTGCGCTTCAGGAGGGCAGGGGTTTCTGCAGCTGTTCGCTCCCGGTGCCTGGGGCAGAAGCAGCTCACACCGGGCGACGAAGTCCTCTCCTGGTGTTACACAAGTACACACATGCACTATCTAACTCGGGGCAAAGCCTCGACGCCAGAGCGTCATTTAACAAACGCTTCCACCAAACATGCTGAATGGCTTTGCTAAGCCAAAGGAGCTTAAAAAATTTTTTAAAAAAAATTTCCAAAAGCTGGTGATCTTCTCTTTTCACAAAGGTAGGTTTAGCAGACGTTCAAGTTCTTAGGAACTCACGAGCTAATCCTAATCATACAGAGACGTTTTCTGTTGAGATTTTTAACCCAATCGTGAAAACAGAAAAAGAAAAGAACCCTAGAAAAGCTTCTAACAGTTCACATACGTTCCTTGAATAGGATTCAAGGATTTAGTTTCTATGCTGAATGTTTTATCCTACCTAAAGTTTCCACGGACATTTTTCAGCTTCCTAGAAATAGATCTTTGACACCAATCAAACATTTCTCCCCTCCCACATCCTTTCAACCCTCTTTTTTTTTAAATTTATTTCCTCTCTATGATGAGAAAAACAATGAATGTTTTTTCTAGATGTTTCTAGATTAGTTTTCTTCAGGATATTTTTAATTCATTTATAGCCCTTAGAGCTATATGAATCATTCAGTAATTAATTCACTAAAATTATTTACTGCGAACCTGCTAGTAACCAAGTCCTAATAAAATCTTTTTTCCTCGCTGAATTTTTAATTCTCACAATTGAAATAATTACAAGAAATTTTTTTTCCAGACAGGGTTGTGCTATGTAGTCCATGCTGGTCTTGTACTTCCTATGTAGCCAAGGGTGGCCTCGAACTCATGGAGATCCTCCTGCCTCAGCCTCCCAAGTGCTGGGATTACAAGCATGTGCCACCATGCTTGGCTAGTAATTACAAACAATTGTAACAAGCAGTGGAAACACACAATTTCAGTAGAGTTTGGAAAGATTTACGATAGTGACAAAAGCGGACATGCACACAGATTTAAGATATCAAAGGTAATCCTGGGGGAGTTAACATAGAAGTTGATCTAAGAGTGCAACAGTGGTTGAAGTGGGGATTATGACAGTTTCTGCATAAATTGTTAAGAAGATTGACTCAGTTGAATACACTGGACAGCTCAGGGAAGTACCAAGCCAACAGAAATTTGCTCAGCAAATGTAGGCAGCCTCAATTATTAGTGAGTTTCAGTTGTTATTAAGCCCAGAGGGTGAACAAACAAGTATCAGGGAGAAGACACTTCCAAGATGGTGGGTGGATTGAAAAGAAAGTCAGTCGGGCTAGAATTTTATATGTGTGTGGGCAAAGGAAGGAGTCAGCTACTAGGGGGGAAGCTACAGAGATGAATAGGCAGGGGTGATCGAGTTAAGGGCCTCAGAGGTCACCTGCAGGACCTGAACCTCATCCTAAGAACCGTGGGGAGCAGTGCGGGGCGTCAGGCGGGGAGTCAGATCTGCAGCTAGGAAGATGGTTTTCTCTGCAGTCCAGGGACTGGAGGTAGGAGACGGATTAGGAGACTGTTCGATAATCTGGGCAGCAAGCGACACTAGTCTGGAGGCAGGTGGTGACAGTGGCAGTGCATGGAGAGAAGGCCACGAATTAGAGCAGCTGAGGGCTGAGTTCAGGCTCTGGGAAGCAGGTGGAAGCCAGAACCATTTTCTGAGATGGGAGAGGAGCGGGTGGGAAGAGGGCTGATCAGCAGTCGCTGGAGAGGTTTAGGTGGAGGTGCACAGAAGGCGCTAGAACTGCCAGGCTCAGAGGGACAGCAAGTGGTTTAGGGGTTATCGGGCCGGGAGAGGAGACACAGGAAACTGGTTTTTAATGGGCTTTTAGAGTTTCTGTGTGGGCCAATGAAAATGCTCTGGAGGTGGACAGTGGAGATGGTCACACGACATAGGTAGTACAGCATTCGCACACTTAAAAATGGCTAAAAGGGTAGATTTGATCTTCTATATGTTACTGCAACAATAATAACACAGGTAGTCCCTTATTCCTAGAAAAACTCCTAGAAGAAAGGTCAATAAAGGAAAGTATAAATATAGGCTGGCTCTATTCAGGTTCCTAGAAAAATAATGATCAGCATCTATTTTCTAAAAGACAATTGTTTTTAGTAAGAGAACAACAAAATTACACTTAGATAATCCCTCTTTATCCCCCCCCCAGGGAAAAAGTTTATATATAAATTATAAATATAATTTACAGAGTCCAAATAAAAAGGCACATAAACCCCAAACTGCTTATATGCAAATAAGAAAACAGAATGTGGTTTAGTCATCCAAAATTCAAAGACTGAACTCAGTTTCTTCCCAGGAGAAGTTGACAAAGGGGAAAAAAAACAGTTAAGGGCTTGTCTGAGATCGTGGATAAGGTTTGCTGTAAAGTTTATGGCCAACGATAGAATGATAAGTGCCCCCTCATATTTTCCATTGCAACAAAGCAAATAGTAAACTGGACATTTTGCTAAAAGATCATTCTAGAATAGTTGCTTTGTTTAACAAAGTCAGAGGTGAGCTGACACAAAGGGAATTTAAACAAAAATACAAGTGAAGCCATGGAACATTTTTAAAGCCTAACATCTTTGAGTTTCATTTTTGTGTTTATCTTTGTGTTTTGGCGTGGAAGTATCTGTAGGAGGTGATATTTTTCTTTCTTCCTTTTTTTTTGGTTTTGTTTGTGCATATTTTCTCATTAGATGACATTTCTGAATCAAAAAGGTTATTAAATGCCATCTTTATAAGTTGTGTGTATAAGTGTTCTCACTGATTTATGTACCTTGAACTAACCCTAATAGAGAGATGAGTATAAAATCACATAACTAGAAGAACAAGAAAATGGGTTGGATACAGACCATTCACTGGAGAAATTGAGGCACAATTGATTTTAATGTTTGAAATGGGGAAGAGCTGCAAATACTTTCGAAAAGAAATGAGATGCATTTTCTTCTAACCAACTTCTCTGCTAAGAAGAAAGAACATTTTTGGACTTTTAAACCACTTTATTGAGATATGGTGGACATACAAAAATCTATACATATTTTAACATAAACAACTTGATGTGTTTAGTTTCTTCTCTTATTTTATTTAATAAAAATGCATCATGATCTCAAATGGTCATCAAAGACATTTTATTGTTATTCATCTAGATTGTTTTTAACTGAGAAGATAATTCAACTAAAAAAAATCCATGAGACTAAAAATTTGAATAGAGAATTTAATATTCCCTAAGACTTTAAAACACCAACATCACAACAAGGAACCCCTTTTCATTAAACTATTCATTCATTAGAATGTGCAAGCTCCTTAGAGCACACAGTATTTGAAAACTAGTAGACATTTAATACTTTTTAGTTAAATAAACAAACGCATCAGTGAGTAATTCGGGGACACCTTTGGCATGCCCACTTCTGAGACAGAAAGTAAAACGTGGTCTCTGCCTTTGAGTTCAGGTATTTCTGAATTGGAAGGACTCTCTCCTGTTAATCTATAATATATTTATAATGGCTTTCTAGATCAAGAGGTTAAGATCACCGCATGATCTGAGATTACACAAAGTGGGAAGATTTATGCTCTGATCATGAACTAGAAGATGATTAGTAGCATTGATGTCACTGATACAGCCTAATCTGCCAATAATGGGGTCATTACAAAGAGTTCAGCATCATGGGCTCCTTTCCCCTTCATTTCTTGCATTATTATGAGTGTAACGTGATTTTCATTTTCTGCGCACCAGCACCTGTGGATTTCCAGGTTTTTCCTGGTCACCATCCCAACAAGGTGGACCAAGAAGAAAGAAAACTGAACTTGTTTTCTTTTCCAGTTCCGGTCCAGGCTGTTATCAGTGCTCAGCAGGGATGGGATGGACCTTCTTCCCTAGCCAATAATAAAAACCAGGCCTCCTGCCACCTGCCTGAAACTTAAAAGGAACTCTAAACAAAGCATGAGAAGCCAGTGAGGACAGGGAGTTCATTTGGGAGGTTAGCTGATCCACTGCACTGGCTGCATTGGCTGTTTTTATTTTCTTTCCTGTTTTAACTCAGAATCTTTGGCCAGCTTGTCCTCGAAATCACAGCAAAGAAAGACATCAACACTGCGTGTGCCTGTCCCTCTTCCTGGCTTGTTGCTATCAGGACTTGACAAAGTAAGAGACCCTTTTGCTTGCTTTCAGGCAAAAGAAACTCATCCTAGATGAATTTACTTGAACTCAAAAATATTCTAGAACTCAAAAATACGCTTAGCCCTTTTACCGAATTCACTGACATTACCTTGTTATTGCGTTCAGTGCCAATGTAATCTGCCTCTTCTGGGATCATTACAAAGAGTTCGGCCTCATAGGCTCCTTCCCCTTCATTTCTTGCATTTATTATGAGTGTGAGGTGATTTTCATCCCCAATGATAATCTGATCCTTATCTCTGAAAATGCAGTTTAAAGAACAGTTAGATATCCTACTCTTCTGACAGTCCAGATGTTTTGAGATTTTAAGAAGAACTTGTAAGAGGTAAAGCCAGGGCAGACTCTGTTCTCACCAATGGGTTCACGTCACTTTATGGGAGTGGGGCAGTTATTGAGGGAATGGATTTGTTAGAAAGCGAGTTCGGTCTGCTTCCCTCTCTGTGCATCACAGACGTCACTGTGCCATGTTGTGATGCCTGCACACAGGCCCTTGTCAAAGGCTGCTCACATCTTCTTAGCCTGCCTGGTTCCTACAACTGTGAGCCCAAGAGACTTCCATCGTCCCGTTAGATATTTATAGGAACTTAGGAAGAAAAGAAAGAAAATGGGGATGTAAGACTAGGATAAAGAAGAAAGTGCATCATCATCATGAAGGGAAATTATTTCTGGATGGGAATGGCAGGAAAACATCCAGTGGTGTGCAGGAAAATGTCTAACAACCAGAAGAGAGAGAGAGGGAGAGGGACAGGAAGAGGAAAGAGGGAGAGAGAGAGGGAGGGGGAGGGAGACAGGGAGGGAGGAAGAGGAGAGAAGATGGGGAGAGAGAGAGAAGAAAGAAGAGGGGGGAGGGGGAGGGGGAGAGGGAGGATCTTCACAGTGTGGACAATGTTTGGCTACCAACATACTTAACCATCTGTTAGAAAATTCCTGCAAATTTAACATTTGGCCTCCAAGCCAGAACAAGTTAGCTCCAGCACACTGTACATTATGAAACACATACATTAGGAAGAAACAAGCTATGGGGGAAAAGGAAGAGAGAAGGTTCAGAGCAAGCGGGGGACAGACTACAAAGTGGATGGTAAAGAAAGAAGGAATAGGCTGATGAAACAGGATCTGAAATGGCTGATAGAGGGTTTTGAAGTATTCTGAAGAAACTTAACTGACTTTGAACTCCAAATCAAACCAGCATTGGGGAATGCCTCTTCCACTTTTGACCCCTACTCAAAGCTATTGCCTTTGACGCTTGTTAAATTGGAGTTTGGGGAAAGTCCCCTGGAGGAATTACCAAGCGGATTCCAAACACAGCAGTGAGATAGCTCCCAGGAGAGAAAGGAGCACCAATTCCGCCTTTTCTCCCCGAGGATGCCCTACATCCTTGTTCCATTTGTTTCTATAACATAACGCTGGGCAATCACCAGTGCTGGAGCTGGGCAACCGTGAAGCCTTTGGACTCTTGGGTGACTTTGTGACACATTCCACTTTACTCCCCGGTGTGCCTTTTAAGTTTTTTTTTTCCCCCAGTAAATTAAAATTAATTTTGTTTTGACAACCCTAAGGATTCCTTTGAGTCATGGGGTGCCGTGAAACACATTTGGTTAAGGTGTGGATGGTCCCAGCTAGACAGAATCCCTTGCTCACTGGACAGAGGCAAGTAAATAAAACTTGAGTCACCCTATACACGAATTCACTTCGAGCAGAAACACTTTTTTCTCACTTTTGCTGAAAGATGAAGCGGCCCAGTCAGAATCTCAGGCTGCGTCACTCGACACCAATGACAAACAAGTGCCCAAACACAGGCTAAGCCCATGTGTGGCCGGGCTCAGGAATTTCAGGCAGCGCTGTTCCTCTGCTTCCCTACTCTGTAGTTGTTGGGAGTGTGTACTTTCTTTAAACAAACTTTTAAACAAATGCCTGTATTCCATTAGCCGTAAGATACATGTTTATTGATTTGGACTTACGGTCTAGCCGACAGCTTCAAGTCCGGAATGCACAGATTATCTTCTCCACAGTCCACCAGGATGTGAGCCTGTGTGGTACAAACTACGCGTCAGAGACACGCTAGGAAAACCCGAACCTTAACGCTGCTTTTCTCTTGAAAACTACACAAAGGAAACCAAAGCTTTCATCTCGCCCAGTATGATTCTACCCAGCTCTACGCTCCATGTCACAAGGCAACCTCGCGCTACAGGCTGGTCGACCTGTAGTCCAGTTCCCATTCCTTCCAGAAACGTCTGTGGCGAATGCTACCCTGGCACTGTCTGCAGGGGTGCAGGCCGCCTTGCTTCCCTTACAGCATTTTCATTCTACATTTTCTTACATTTTGAACAAACTCAATATTGGATGCACAAGAGGAAGGGCTTCTGAAAACACAAGGACGCACTGTTTTAGGAAATATTTTAGGAAAAACTCCCAAATGTCACACATCTGTGAACAGGAATAAAAGCAGAAGGGACCGGCTTCAGTCTTCAGCTCACAGAACAACTGCCCCTCTCCCAGCCTGACTGGGAAAAGCGCCCTCAGAGCACACGGAGGTCATACCTGTTCAGTAGCAACATTGTCCCTGTAGTAGTTTAATATCGGTTTCACCTCCAGGCCTTTTTTAAAGGCGGAGTCATCCAAACTGTAATTCAAACTAATGTTGATTGGAGATAATTTATCTCGGAATTCAGTTTCATCCTAGGGAAATGATCACAAAGTCAAACAGCTGCAAGATGTTAGTCTGTGAAAGCCAGGTAAAACTTTAGTCAACGAAAGTAGGTGATGAAGGCATTGTTATTGCAATGGGCTTGTTAGACACATGCTGATTTATTCAGCATATAGCAGCCAGCATAATTAATATGTGTTCAGGGGTGGAATTTTTTTACAGCCACAGCCTCACCGAAATAAGCTTCTAAGGTAAATTTCCTGTTCTCCATGCTCTCACCAACATACATAGAACTAGTCAACTCTCCAAATACAAGATTACACTGATGTACCATAAATGCCATGGAAATCATCATGGATTAGGATTTTTGCCTTCATTAGGTTGGTATAATTTTTGAGTTCTCTTGGGCTCAGAGGAAGAAAACATCTTGATTCTCTTCCTCCTCTATTATTTCAATAAGCTCTTGCTTGCATGGACTTCAAAACACCTTCAGCACATGTGAAGTTTGCTTGAAAAGAAAAAACACAACTTCTCCAAGGGAGGGGTGAGCACCAGGAAGCAGGCACTAAGTAACGGCACCATTCCGCTGTGTGCCAACCTGGCCATGATTGGACGTAAACATTGTGTGTGTGACTTTTCATTCTTGAGTGTGGTAGTGAATCTGGTCTTCCCTAGTGCCCTACAGGGGCAGGAGAAACCAGACTGAGTGGCCACGGCCTAACAATTGGCAAAGTGAAGATGGGATGCTGTATTACCAATATATTTACTTTTAAAATTTCCTGGTAGGTTTTAGAGTTGTAAAAATGCATTTCTTTTTAAAGTATAAAATTGGAAACTGCATTTAATCAAAGCTTTGGATGCCTGAATGTGTTCCTAGGTTGGATCTGAAATGCGCACTGATACCATCTAACAAGACATACTGACACAGGATAAAAATTCAAATAAATCGTATTGAACTTTTATGTGTTCTGTGTTGGGAGGCAGTTAGAAATGAAAACCACCTGAGTTGAGTGCTGTTATCAAGATTTTATTTAAAACAAAAGAAGCCTTAGAAATTAATAGGAACAGATCATTAGGCTAGTTGAAGCCAAGGTCAAGAAGAGAGCAGTTAGTCATAAAGTTTCCTCCTCTGAAAATGAAAATAGACAGACAGGAGTCTCTGGAGACAAAGATGGTTCACTGGAGGAAAATGGCTGGAGTGCGGATTTGCATGTGAAAGGCCAAAAAAAGGGATTTCTGGAGCACTTACTCGAAGGTAAACGATGAAATCCTGGCACTGGAGGGCTGTCTGCCGCTCAATCAGCAGAGGGAAGACAAGATGGGACTGATGGTTATGGAGGAAGAGTGTCCGTTTGACGGCTCCTTTTTGTTTCAGCGAATCTAACTGCAACTCAGCCACCAGGGCTAAAGGGTGGAATGAAGCAAATACAATTGGGGGAGGCAACAGCGAACACAATGCCCCACCAGGAATACAAACTTCTATGTCAAGGTTTTTCATAGCTGAGATCACATACGATACAATGAGTCAAAAAAGTGTACAATATATTCTCTAAGGTGAAAGTTTTAAGTGCACATTGCCATTTTCTCTGTAATTATTGTTTATAGATAATACTTCCATCAATTATTAACATCACATTTATGTAGAAGGTTTTACATATGCACTAGACATCTAGGTGTCAATACAGGGCTCTCTAGTTCTCCATGGTCTGTGCAGAGAAATGGTTATTATTCAATTTTCTTATGATAGTGGAAGAGTGTAAAAAATGAAAACAAGCTCACCTATTGCATTTGGAATGCTCTGGCCTGCAATAGACGCGCATACTTTTAAAGAAAAGCTATGGAAAAATAATAGTTAATAATTTATTGATTAGTAAATTTTGAATCCAAAGTACAAATCTTCCTTTCTTTCATCCCAGATTAAACATGCATCATTTCCCCCATCCTTCTAATTCTCTCTCTGTATACACACACACACACACACACACACACACACATGGACACACACACATACAGACACACACACCTGAATATCTCCCCCAACAGTCAGCCACAGCACTAACACAACTAAGACAGGTAACGGCATAGAAGGCGATACTTGAAAATAGTACTATAGGTTAATGGATTTTTATCAATTAATATTCCACTGTGTTTATTCCGTGAATACATATGAGTATTTTCCATGTGCCGAAGAATGAAGAATTATCAATACAGAGAGGGTACAGTAGGGGAAAAGTCTGGAGCGCAGCGTGAACAAGCCCCACCCCATTTGCAGCACTAAAGATGTTACGGCTGCATCATCCAGGGAGATGGGGAAGTTGAAGGAGGCATGGCTGAATTCCTGGTAGGAACAGGGCTTTGAACTGCCCTAAAGGATGTGAATTGGTCCCTAAGAAGCGTCTTCATCGTGCTTAACTCGAGCCACTCCCTTGGAAGGAGACTGGAACTTGGTGGTACTTTGCTGTAGGGAGGTAAGACAGGAGGTAGAGAGACAAGAAAAGGGAAGAGAGAAAGTAAAGAAGAAACTTAAAGCAGCTGTCTCAAGCTAGGTAGGCACACTGTCACGAGTATAAAGACAACAGAGAATAGATACACATGAAAGTCATTTCATAGTTTTGCCTTGAACATGCCCTGACTACAACCCACAGAAATGTCTACACAGCTTGTGGGATGACCAGCACTCGGCCCTGATCTGTAGAGTGAATGAGAATTGTCCAGTTATCTAATGAAAACAAGCTCACCTATTGCATTTGGAATGCTCTGGCCTGCAATAGACGCGCATACTTTTAAAGAAAAGCTATGGAAAAATAATAGTTAATAATTTATTGATTAGTAAATTTTGAATCCAAAGTACAAATATTCCTTTCTTTCATCCCAGATTAAACATGCATCATTTCCCCCATCCTTCTAATTCTCTCTCTGTATACACACACACACACACACACACACACACACATGGACACACACACATACAGACACACACACCTGAATATCTCCCCCAACAGTCAGCCACAGCACTAACACAACTAAGACAGGTAACGGCATAGAAGGCGATACTTGAAAATAGTACTATAGGTTAATGGATTTTTATCAATTAATATTCCACTGTGTTTATTCCGTGAATACATATGAGTATTTTCCATGTGCCGAAGAATGAAGAATTATCAATACAGAGAGGGTACAGTAGGGGAAAAGTCTGGAGCGCAGCGTGAACAAGCCCCACCCCATTTGCAGCACTAAAGATGTTACGGCTGCATCATCCAGGGAGATGGGGAAGTTGAAGGAGGCATGGCTGAATTCCTGGTAGGAACAGGGCTTTGAACTGCCCTAAAGGATGTGAATTGGTCCCTAAGAAGCGTCTTCATCGTGCTTAACTCGAGCCACCCCCTTGGAAGGAGACTGGAACTTGGTGGTACTTTGCTGTAGGGAGGTAAGATAGGAGGTAGAGAGACAAGAAAAGGGAAGAGAGAAAGTAAAGAAGAAATTTAAAGCAGCTGTCTCAAGCTAGGTAGGCACACTGTCACGAGTACAAAGACAACAGAGAATAGATACGCAAGAAAGTCATTTCATAGTTTTGCCTTGAACATGCCCTGACTACAACCCACAGAAATGTCTACTCAGCTTGTGGGATGACCAGCACTCGGCCCTGATCTGTAGAGTGAATGAGAACTGTCCAGTTATTTCTGCCCAACTCTGTCGTGTGTTCTCACCTAACCCCTGAAAAGTTCTAACAGCCAGCATTAGGGACGGGTCTTTTCACATTTCTAAGAGAGCAGAAGTATATAAACTACATATGATACTTTCATGACGAAATTTTTACTAATAAAATACAATAGCGCTGAATATTTGAATACTACAGATCTGAATATTTTGATGGAATTCAAAAGGAGTAAATAATCCCTAATCATACTTTAATTATATGTCAGTTTCCTGTGTCAAACACAATGAAAATGTGTCACATCTGGGATTCATCTATCTCGGTGACCTCAGTCAATGTCTCCCTGCAGGGTAAACAATTCACTACATACCATTAAGTCCAAAGTTTCCTGAGATGTCTGTGCTATTACAAGTGTTTATACCACTTCCCAGGAGAGATCACAATTCCTACCCACTTCTACTTCAATTAGAATCATTCATGGAAGATGAATACTTAATCATGTCTTTAAATTTTTGTAGTATGTTTGGCTTCCAAGATTCCGATTTTTTCCAGGCCTGACTTTTTTTTTTTGGAAGTACTTGGCTGTATATTAAAATCATCTGTTGAGTTTTTTTTCTATTTATCATTTTTCTATTTATTCTCACTCTGCATAGATAAAACTCATTAGCTTTTATAATATAAATTCATATTTGTAAGTAAATTGCCAACATAGAAATTAAAATAATGTTAGATACAGTATTTTAACATGAACAGATCAAAAGTATTATACTTTTTTGAATAAAGGAATAAATTAAAGCTAAGAAAGTGAACACTACTTCCTCTCTTGTGAGAAGGTCATTGATAAATGATGTTAGCTCAAGGTTACTCTTGATTTATGGGTTGTTGCAATACACATCTATATCTCTTAATTTTCTTTCTCTGTTACTTCAATATCATCAACAACTGCATGCCTTTAACTTTTTTCATCCAAGTTTAATATAACCACTACAACTTACTGAATAGTTGGAAATGGCACTCTGAATTAAATCTACTGGCTTTAGGTTGTCTTTAGCAGAAAAGACTTTGTTAAGCTACAGATTTTCAAGAACTGTGCTTTGATCTAAAAAGAAAAACCTCAAAATTGTGTAGCAGTGAAATGACAAGAGTCATCCTAAAACTAGAAAAACATACTTCTTTCACATGTATACTCTATATGCTTTTGTGTATCCTAGAATTAGGCCCTCGTATGGGTCAATATTTAATTAGTATATGTGGGCTATCAGCAAAAGCCATGAACTAGTATTGAATTAGCATCAACATATCAAACTGGATCTTATAGTCATACCCAGCATGCTCCTTTATTCTGAATGGGTCTGATTGGAAAAACAACAACAAAAATATATGGAAATAACCCATGCCTTTTGTGTCATAAATCTAAATCAAACTGTGGACAGTGCTTGTGATCTGCTGAGAAGACGGTGCACAAAACACAACCCAGGGTCCTCGAGAGTCCCCTCCTGTGCTCAGCTGGAGCTCAGACCCCATGAAGTCACTGCTCATAGTCACATATGGTGGAGAAGGAATGAGAGACACATGAAACACGATCCAAAAGTACAAAGCAATTCATTCTTCAGCCTCACCAATTCAGTCCCATGTCGATGACGGCAAACAGCAGATTTTACTTAAAGCTACTCCTAGCTGAAACACTGTTTCTCAGGCTAGAGAAGTGGATAGTTACATTTACAAAATGAACCTGCCTACTATCTTAGAGGTATATTCGCAAGCTGGATTTCATTTTCGTTTTCTAACTTAGAAGTGGCAATAGCAGATATTTTATAAAGCTACACAGCCGAATGGAAGTCAGAAATCCACACTGATGGAAAGGAGAAACTATCTGAAAACTACAGTTTACATAATCATCTTCAGATTCATAGTACAAGATTACATCAAATGCAGACAACAATCACACCGATGACAATTAATAGAGGCCTCTCGATTATTTTGGAAAAACTAGGCTAAATGCCTAGGAAAATAATAATAACAATAATCAGAGATACATGTTTTCCACTGAACTAGCTATTAACTTTCTGTCTTTTAATACTTTGAGTCACACATCAAAATTTTCAGTCAATGTCTTCCTGCAGGGTAAATAATTCACTACATACCATTAAGCCCAAAGTTTCCTGAGATGTCTGTGCTATTGCATTGTCTTTCAGAATGTATGCAATAGTATAAAATAAATAATTGTAAAGCATACAGTATAATTTTCCCACATAACAGTTTGCATTTTACCTTAATACAATGATTTAATGCAATAAGAAAATGGCTTGTGAAAAGAATGAGATTTGCTGGTTAAAGAGTAATATTCTTTTTACAAAACCAAACATGTTCCATAATGTCATTAATGTTACTGACATCTCATAAAAAAAAATCCACAAAGCTAAAAGCTCCATCAGAAAGACCAGTTCAAAGGAAGCACATTTCATAGAAGAGTGTACTACCTGTGACTAAAAGAAGTCCACAGAGCTAGAAGCCCTCAAAAAGAGGACTTCTTGGGGGACTATGAAAGTTTTAGCCTATGCTCAAGTAGCATTCACAGTTCATTTAAATGTTCATTTAATTGTGCCAGGGTAGGGGAAAATGCTGGCGCTTTCACATATTTTCTCAGATCAGGTTTTCATTATACTATTTTATGGTTTTAAACCGCTTTAAAATGTGCTCAGGGCATTTCCCAACTCCTTTAAAAAGCAGTTAAAGGCCTGGGCACGCCTCCCTATGCAGGAGCTCCAAGCAGCAGGATGTTTTTCAAAAGAATTCTTAAGGGTCCTAGGAACTTCCTACCCTCCACTCTCAAAAGTTCTGACTCCTGCATGAACTCCTGTCAGAAGGCCATCAAAAACATGCTCCATGGGCTGGAAATAACTTTCTGGGTCAGGACTGGCTTGTTCTACATTCTGATACTCTCTGGGACAGGACATGCTGCCTGAGGGAGACCACATTTCCTGCAAAATGAGGGCAAATCTCTAACATCTCAAAACTTTTTTTTTTCTTTATGGTACTACTCCAGCCCTTTTAATCTTTTGTTTTCAGGCAGCATCTTGCTAAGTCACCAAGGTGCTCAGGCTACTTTCAAATCTAAAATCTTCCTGCCTCAGCCTTTCAGAGTGCTGTTATTTTCCAGAGGATATGTTCTGTTGACATGATCCAATCTGATGGCTTGGGACCCTTGAGGAGCTATATATGCTTTTAAAAACAAGGTGGCATTTTCTTGGGCTGTGTTTGAGTCAAGTTCCATTCTGTCCTTTGAGGCAATTCATGAGTCAGA